ATTACACCACTTCTCAAATATATTGTTTTTAAATACTCCTGAAGTTTCTTCACTGCTATTAATATTTCAGAGTGTAGTAAAAGAGACGTTATAGATCATTTACTGGAACCCTTTTTGTATCTTTGTTTGTACAGAATTTTATGCTTTTTGCTAGCTATTTGATTTTTTTTTCTTATAGACGTCAATACATTCTTAAACCATAATTGTTTATTAAAGATTGAAAAGCTTTTGCCTTTTTTCTGAAGAAATTTTTTTAAAAAGTTATTTTGATATAAAAAGGGATAAAATAAAATTCAAATATTTTTAATTTCAATTTTCTTTTCAATTCTATCAGTATCAATGCTGCTCTTCAGCAAGTAATTTTTTCAAAATTTATAAAATATGTTTGTTATTTTGTAAACAATATTAATTTTAATAGTAAACCTCTGTTAAAATACCTAAGAATTAAATGATTGGTCACAGAGGATTCATTAGTCTTTTTTTTATTATTGTTTTGCATCTCGTTCGAGTTAATTTCAGTAATAAAGAGACGTCATCATACACTGGCGAAAGGCCTCATATTCAAACTTTTACTCAGCACTCAAGGCAATTAAGAAGCAAGGATTTTTTATAGTGTTGACGCCTTCCTTGACACGGGACCTTGAGTTTTAAGGTCTTACCGAAGGACCCACGACGTTCAGTTTAAAGTGATGAGCGCTTTGTGAAGGAACAGATGATACCCATTTTTTTTATCGAACCCACGACGTTCCAATTATGGAGCGAGCCTCAAGGGACTGAGCGTCTTTTTCAAAGTTCTACTTTTTAAACCCTTCTTATAGTTTAAATGTGTCGTCGTGAAAAACAACCTGATTGAGCAGCGCAAACACGGACCTCCGAAACATCAGAGGTGGGATCAGGTGTCATGGAGAAGTGAACATCCCCCGCCGACCGGTCACACCCGTCGTGTGTTCCTTGTCATGATCGGGAGATCCATCCTCAATTCAGTATATAAATAATGGACTAACAATTCGTATGAAAAAGTCAGTCTGCATTTAACTCAATGATAAATTGAATCGACCATAGAGCTTATCAAAATTTATTTATTGTGTATGACATAAATCATTAATTATGTATTTCATTGATTATCTTTCAAGATGATTATAAAATGTCTGTACTACCGATTATAAAAAATATATTTTTATATAAATATGCATATATCATTATAAAAATTTATATGTTGATTTCAGTGAACACATTCCAACCCCATTTCTGAACTGGAAAACGGAGCTTTTTCCGAGATCCATGGCGGTTGTCTCTTACCGGTATAATACCCACGAGGATCAAATTTATTTCTATAGCCTAGGTATCCGGGATACTGATTTCTTATCCCCCCATACCATCTCCTCGGTCGGTTAAAAACGGTTCCTCCGTACCACCACCCTGGTCTATTGTATACATTTCCCTTGTACCACCTCCTCGGGCTGTTATAGATGTTTCCCCCGTACCACCGCCTCGGGCTGTTAAATACGTTTGCCCTGTACCACCACATCGGATACTTTGTTAGTTGTCCTCTGTACCGCCACCTTGGATATTGTATCAATTTCCCTCCGTATTGCCACCATAGTCTGCCGTTTGACTTATCGAGTCGTTTTGTTATGCCAAACATTCTAGCCCTACTACGAAGAGCATTTCGTAAATATATTCTCTTAGCTTTCCTAGCTCTGGATATCATCATTTTATTTGATTGATGCTTGCTGTATTCTTTCTCAATTTCATCAAAACTATGAAGCTGATTTATAAACTGCCTTGTTGTGGGCATGTTTATTTTTACACATTCCTTCAAGTCTCTCCATAACATTGCGAAAAGTTCCCGACATTCCCTGTTCTCTGGAGAAGACTTTGGGTGTCCTTTTATTTCGCTGACCAGCTGAGTTATTGTTGGTTTGTACACTGGATACAGCTCCTGGCAACAAGGATACTTAGTTGGCAACAGTTTATGATAGACAGAGTCAATTGCTATGCTCAAAGCTTTGAACGTGCTCTCGTCTTCGTTTGACCCTTCCTCGCTGTCGTCCTCACTTGAACTCGAACTTGAACTTGAACTCGAGATAGTGCTTTCCATTTCGGAACTACTTTCGTGAGATGATAATTCATTATCATTTTTCTCGGTATCTTTGCAGCAGGTATCAGACGATAATTTAGGTTGATCAAATCTCCAGACAATATCACCAGGTAATGCAATAAGTGATTTTCCAATTTGATTTGAATAGCTATTTTTAGAAGCATCATTCCCTGCATGATGGACTTTGTGGATAGATTGATCGGAGATACTTTCTTTCTTAATTCTCAAATCGTCATTTTGATTCATACCATCAAACGTACTACCAAATGATTTCTTTCGCTGTATGTTGGATTCTTGAAAACTCTCAGGTTCATTGTTATGAAAGATATTCCGAACAGGTTTATCAACAGAATGAGATGATTTCTGTAAATCGTGTCCCAGTTTTCCCCAGTCAATTATTTTCAGGTTGTTTGTTATAATGTTTTGCCCAGTAGACTGTCGTGGAATTTCTTTTTCTTCCGAAGGTGAAATTTGAGAAAGCGGTGGGAGATAAGATATGTCATTCGCTGTATTTTCATTATTTGTCATGATTCCCTGACCATTGCCACCGTCAAAATCTTGGGAAAAGCCATTTGACTCTCCGTCTAAAATGTCTTGCAAAGCTACTGATAAGCTTTGGAACATTGAAATGTCTTCGGATACGTCACTTTTGGGAGTGTATTGTGGGATATTATTTATAGCATTTTGTAAGCTATTTCCGTCTGGGGTGACAGTGTTGGTGTCCGAAATAATTGCACCGAACAGCCTGAACTGAAAAGAATATGATATATAGTAATGCAATTTTCACCTATCCTTATATACTTAAAGACTTTAGAGAAAAGTAAATTAAAGTAAGAAAAGTTATTTTGAAATATTGTTATTTTATTTTTTCATTTTGTTTTGTTCATTTTACTATAACAATTGAAAAGAAAATCACTGTAACTAAATGAAGCTAAAATAATAAGGCAAAAGACTCACCAGTATGAATGCATTCAGCAACATTCTTTTCTGCTTTGAATGGTTCCTCCTTGATTTCCTTATATATCCCTGACTGTAAACCCGATCGGAGATTCCTCTCTCTTTGCTCACTTCAGTTTTTGCTTCATCAAGTTCGGTTTCTTCCCTCCAGTAAGGTCAACAAAACAGAGTTCAACGATATTTCAAGCTATTTTTTTAACAAGATTGTTTACGCGATATTATACAACTTTGCCCCTCTTAATTAATGCATTGTATCTTTAATTTGAAAACAAATTAAGAGACATTACTTTACATAATATAAGGTATATTAAGTACTAAAAAATCTTGAAAACGTTTTTAACGTAATTTATACATTCATAAACAAAAGAAATAATAGTAAATTTTCCCGAAGACATTGCAATTGTGATTGAATTTAATAATGCATACATATCATGATAAAAATGATTTTAAACCGAAAGATATTTATACTCAAGAATAAAGATGATATTGTGTTAAAAGCTATTTTATACAAATATGGTATACATACACATTGTCTTCAATACTGTCTGTCGCCTGCGTGGCGCAGTGGTTAAAGCGTCTGCACTAGAGTCGCGAAGTAAGGAGTTGATCCTTACCTCGCGGGTTCGAATCCCACTGTGGGACGTGGCGACCGGTCCTTCGGATGAGACCGTATAAATCGAGGTCCCGTGTCGCAGGTGATTGCGTGTAAAAGATCCCTCCCTGGTCAATGGCCCTGAGTGCAGAGTATAGGACAAATTTTGCATCTCTCACCCGGCAAGTGGTGGCGTCTTCATATGAGTGAAAAATTCTCGAGAGGGACGTAAAACAACATAAAATCAATCAATCAATACTACCTTATCAAACCTTGATGTTTTAAAATCGAGAAATAATTTCAAATCTTAGAGATCTGATCACACCCTATAAATTGAAAAGGGATATATACATAAATACCAAGAGAAATTTTTAAAATGCATGTATTGTATTCTGACTGAAAAAGAAGTCTATTTTCACTGTAATTACAATATCTAGTTCATAAAGAAACAAGGAAGGAATACGGAAAACTAGAAAATGAGCCCCACCAAGGCTTCATCAAGAATGCAACTCAAAATTTGTAATAGTGTTTTTAAAAAGTATGCTTGGTTTCTTTACACCGCAGTTTAATACACAATAAATAGTAAGGCAAGGTCATCTGAAATGTCAAGATTATAATGATGAAATATTTGGACAGTACCACGAACAGTGTTCAAGCTCAAAACTCCATTCAAACAATACAAATCAATAAAAAAGCAAACACGGAACTCTGAAATATCAGAGATGGTAGAAGGTGCCATTTAGGAGTGAGCATTACCCGTCGACAGGTCACACCCGCCGTGTGCTCCTTGACATGATCGGAAAAACATCCGTCGAAAACTTAATCTGTACATCAAGGACTGACAAATTAGTATTAAGAAGCCAGTCAGCAATTGACTTATTGATAGATTGTGTTTTCTGTCAGTCATTTAATCAGGCATAGGACTTGCAAAATGATAACCCCCTCCCCCCAAAAAAATTAAAAGACAACCCAAAAACCTCAAAATAAGACATATATTAAAACTCATTGTGTGTGTGTTTCTTGGTGAGTCTATTTGCAGCATAATTTCTCTTTACTTGGGTTTACCAAGATCTCATTCGAGAAGCGGTAAAACTGAAAATATTAACTATGATTATGAATTAAATATCTACACTGTACAGTGTATGCGTAAAATGAAAAGTTTTAAAATGGTACAATAAACATAATCATAAATTTCCATTTTTATTTTTACTTATTTACTATTTTTCCAAAATTAGAATAGATAATAACATAATAATTTTTAACGAAAGTCGGTTCCTTGAATGTAGGTCAGTATTTGACTTGTGGAACTCTTTTGTCTTAAGGAATAGACAGATAAGAACTAGGACGATAATGTACTTCACATCAATTCTCTCCGTTTTCCTGTATTGGCTTCATGTATCAAATGAAACGTAAGTTACATGTATGTTTAAAAGAGTATGAATTAACCATAAATGCTACAAATGGACGTGTTTTTATCGTTCTTTTTTTATTTAAAGGTTATAGATCTATGCGTCCATTTTTATTTTTGTGGAGAAAGTGTATTTGACAAGGGATGTTAGTTTTGATAATTTTTACATGCAAATATAATTGTTTCTTTAAAAAATTCATTGATGAAAATGTCATAATTAAGTGCAAACTACATATACATTGTAGTATTCTTCTCCAATTCAAAGACTGTTTAAAAACTGAAAGATCAGACTGAAATTGGTTTTATATCCTTTAATTTACAAGAAAGTTTCATGCAAATGATAATAAAATGAGTAACCACAGTCAAGTGCTGTTTTTGCTGAAAGTGCTTGTAATTTTATCGATTAAAATAAAGTTGCAGAATTAGTAAGAGATGGAATTTTTTTTAAGATCGGTACCCATTCATACTTACGACTCCCTCCTGTCTCATTTAACATCTGGAACTCGAGTCACGTACTTCTTCAACACAACAACTTGTCAGCCCCTTTCTTCATCAGCTAATGTAGATCTCCCAGTGTTTGGAGGCGAAATTAACTTCTTTTTAACATCGAAGAGTTCAAATGGACAGCTTATTTTCAATCACGACAGCTTTATCGGTGCCACAGAAAAAACAGGTTTTTAAAAAAGATTACAAACTGGCAAAGTAGCTTAGCATCATGGTTGCTGAAAAAAGTCCACTTTAACCCCGCAGTGTTTTTCAATAAACAACTTTGGAAAACATAAAATGATCTACCACGAACGATTTCATGGTAGATCATTTTATGTTTTCCTTGACTTCAGATGTAATTGATGAAGAGATACAGTCTGTCTATATTGTGGCTTACACTGCACTTATCCTCTATGGCAGACCTGGTGTCTTTGTGAACAGCACAGAAAACATAAAGGGTGTTATCTGCAATTGGACTGCTGAAAAGTAAGTTCAAATACCCATAAAGATATGATCTATCTTCTCTTTATTTCAAGGAAAAGATTTGTTATTCATTTAACGAGTGTTCTGTGGAAAAATATTTTTTAACACAGAGAAGAAATAATGTTCTTCTTGCATTTAAGGCTGAACTAGTTACTGAATAATATCAACTCCAATTTAATATTGCAATTCAATTTTATGTGATGTATACCCTATAGTACCTTCTGGGCAAAAGAATCTACAAAACCAAGTCAACTTAATTCTTACTCGGAAATTCGTAAGTCTTTGATGGTTGGGGATGCTATACGATTCGTAACCACTACTGCGGGGTGTAAATGTCAAGATGATTGTGGGGATGTCTATTTCGGCGGAGATTTAAAAGGTGAGTCTTAGAATTCAGTAAGTTATAGATGCCAGCTTAATTATGTTAACATCTTGTATGAGCGATATGAGTTTTTACATAAGCGTGGCTAAATTGTCTCAAAGAGGTACTGAGTAAAAGCGACATAAGTAGTAAATTACAATTATTGTGGGGTCATTTGATCCATGCAAAAATGTGTAAGATAATCCAGGTCAAACAGTAAATATATTGGTATAAATTAGTCAGGTTACTTATGCACCAGAATGCTAGACAGTTTGCCCCTAATACAACTTGCCTTCGGGAAATTTTGCCCCCTAGAATAAGAACCTACTGAATAATGTAAAAACTCGCATGTAATCTGTGCAATGCTTTTGATAATTTGTAAGTGGATCAAGCGTATCTTTAACTCTTTATTACATATCCTTGTCTGTAAATAGATAAACCGATTTTACTATTTATTTATATAATTATATATATATATATGAATGTTTAAATAATATTTATTCTAATTTATAAGAAAAAAGTCATCTGGCATTACTTGAAGAAGGTGGGGTAAAATCTGAAATTAATATATATCTCTTAAATAAAGTTTTCACTGTCCAAGAGTATATACTTGCAAAATTATTAAAGACCATATTTTTATGTATTGCAGATTTCAAGATTAAATCAGATGGAATGTTAACCTTTTCAAAATCCATGACATTATATTTCCCAGTACCCACAAGTCCAATGTATTACCGGGAACTTCTGACTGCACAAATTCAACCAAACAACACCGCTACATTTCAACTGCTGTATCTGAACGCAACAACCTGGGAAATCGGAAACGGTGCAGAGATGGTTTGCTCAATAGAAGCTTCCAGGGGACATGCTGATTTCTTTAATATAAGTGCTTAATAATGTGACATTATCTATTGATTCATTATTTTACTTTAATTTTGTCTTCACCAGGTTTTCTATCTTGTAATAAATATAATAAATAATAATTTACGTATAATTATTATTTGGATATTTTGTTCATAGGGGTATTTTGAATTAAGGTCCTTAAAACGTATAGAGCAGTTAGATACAAAAAAGAAAATATTAACTTCTCAAGTTATCAAAAATTATATGACAAACAGTTCTTCAATTTCAAAAAAAAAAATAATTGTTTTTTTCCTTGTATGTTATTATGATCTTAACTATGCACTACCTATATCTAATTATTAACCAAATTCGAAAAATACAGACATCAAAAATCCAGGGCCTTGGTAAAATATAAAATGGTCACTGAATGTGGAATAAAATTTATATAAAAAAGATATTTAAAAACGTACATCTACTAATTAGTGAAATTCTTAAAATGATGTTGCATTGAATTTAATGTAATATTTTAAGTGATCATGCTTTACCGGTAGTATTTTCCGGCATGTTTACTCTGACCACCTAATCGTCTGAGGCTGTTGTAAATTGCGGCATGCACTGTGTGGACACTGTTTAAATCACACTGGAAAACAAAAGTTCAAAAGGATGATGACCAAATTATACGGAGGTGAAAATTCTTTGTGTCATCCAATGACAACACGGGAAAACATTTCAAAATGCATAAGCTAACCACTGAATGTGTAAATCTCTGTGTAAAGTTTGATTTATTGTGGGATATAGCGGTGTGGTCATTGAAGAAACTTCAAGATTTGTTTGTGTCAGGAACATAACAACGAAATATCACTTGCGTTCATTGGCCTGATTTTGGTCAAAAATATTTATACAAATAAGCATAACATCAAGCGAAAATAGATAAAGGGTTTCGCTGTCATCTTTGTCTGTTTCTCTTATTTTTATTTTCTTAAAAAAAATCCCTAGCAATACAAACAGAGTGCATTTTAGAGGAATAAACTAGGAAGGCGATGGGGATGGACACAGGGTGGGAATTTGAACAATGTTTAGCAAGGTATTCTGAATGTGCAGATATAAAACGGTCTAGGATAAAACTGACTAACACCAAGTCATAGATAATAGTTGGATACAGAAATAATATCAACTCAAACGATTTTATTTCATTGATTAAATTGCAAACAACGTTTTACAAGTTGCGATTAACAATGTCATTTTATTTTAATTACAGTCCAATTCAATGTCTTATCAGGTTCTTTAATATCAATTTAATAGAAAAACAGAATAACATATTTAATAAGTCTACATGATTTCGATTAAAAAGATGAACAAGATCATTTTGAGTAGTCACTGAAACTGTTGCGAGGTATGAAATGCTGAAATGGGTACATTTAACATTTTAGAGGAAGATGGAAATAATTTCGGCTAATGAAGATGGAATAAGACTTTTAATTTTTTCTTTTATGTAAAGGAGGACAGGAAGATCTATTCACATTATATATGAAAAACGTATGAAAAAAACGTGTTCTAAATTTGCGGGAAAAAAGTATATGATATAATTTTGTGAATTAAATTGGAATTTGTAAGATCTACTTTTCAGGAAGGCAAGGAAACGTCTATACAACAAAAGAAAAAAAAAATTATTCCTATACATGAACAGACACTATTTAATATACTAGTAGAATACAAATATTTTTTTTAAATATATAGATAAATTTGATATAATTATTTAAAAAAAAAAAATCATAATTATTTTTTGACAAAATGATCAAAGTCGTTTTTAAACCTTCCACAGAGAACATGTTTTGTTTCCTCTTAGAAGTATTGCACAATCTTTGGACTGTTACTCAGTATGACCGTACACTAGCGTGATTTAGATAAGGTTTTTGTGAGATATATCGTGATATAATTCCGCAGTTTGGTCGCCAAAAGTATTGTCTTATAAAGGAATTACACTATACTAAACTTGAAAATTAATTTACCATTTTTAGCAAATTGATAACCATGTTTAACTTCATATTTATTTGTTTTCTATCTTCATTCTTGGTTGTGTATTGTCAAAGGTGAGTTCATTAAAAATATAACTTTCTTTTTATCAGTTACGTATTTGCACATTATTTATACCTAAAACAAAGAGACCATGCACGGTGTAAAATTTTTGGAATGAACCCCACTAATTTGCTTCGTGAACTTGAACAGTGATAGGGTAGCTACATTTGTTGATGGTATAATGTCAAATCATTTTTCCAAAATAACAATCAAATCTTGGACACATCGTCGAATAATTATGTCCCAACTACATATAAGTCATTTTCATTTTAGCACTTAAGTCCTTCGTTAACAAAAAATAAATCAGAAATATTATTTATGTTCCTCTGTTATTATGCAAGACCGAAGCCAAGTCAACTGAGCTAGTTTTTTGATGGATTAAAA